CTGCAAGATAAGACCAAGGCAAGAAAGATCATCGATATTCCCGAAGGTTCATACGACATTGCGGACATTGAGACATTCATACGCAAAGAATTGGGCATCTCAAGTGCAAAGGACGTTGATGATATATTCTCGTTGAAGCCCAACAATAATACACTAAAGTGTGAGATTTCGAGCAAACAGTTTGCCATTGATTTTCGCCCGAAGGATAGCATAGCTCAAGTCTTGGGATTTTCAAATAGATTGTTGAACGCACAACAAGTCCACACTTCCGATTTGCCGGTCAGCATAACCAAAGTGAGAACCATTCACATTGATAGCAACGTTACTGCTGGAGCTCTCTACAACGACAGACCATCACATACGATCTACGAGTTTGCAGTTGCAGTCGATCCTGGTTACGCCATAGACGAGACTCCCAGAAATCTAATCTATCTACCTATAGTCAGCAGGCGAGAATTGCCCAACATTACACTCCAGATTCTAGACCAAGATTTCAGGCAGGTGAATTTTAGAGGTGAAGAAATCATAATAAGATTGGAATTGAAGAAACTCGCAAGATGGTACTAGTGTTTGATTACTCCTATAAATCAGATAATATACCATCATCAGCAACATCATCAGCACCAGTTCTCTCGACACCGTACACCAAAGCAGTCGTGTCTTCGAAGAGCAGCAGCAGCCGCAACAGAAAAACATTGACATTATCCAGTGTCCTGTTTCTGAAATCACTCAAAGACTACAATGTTGTTAGCACCCGTGTTCGACGTTTTCCGCAAACCCAGACTCGACGAAAGCATCACTAAAGTGGAATGGCGTACCTATTATCCATATGTGAAATCATTCGAGAACAATGATGTCATCGATATAACGGTTAATCAAGCAGATTCGTGGTTGGCCATGTTTGAAGGCATCATTACCATCAAGGGTAAATTGAAGGTGACCGGTGGTGGTACTGGTACATTAACCCACAATGCTGGAGCCTATCTCTTTGATTCCTGCACCTATGAATTGTGTAATAAAGAATTGGACACTGTCAGATATCCTGGAATAACGAGTACTGTGCGTGGATACTTGTGTTATACGCCTGAAGACTCACGTCATCTAGCCATAGCAGGCTGGAACTATCCCAATGCTCCGATCCTCAACACCGATGGTACGTTTAGCATGAACATTCCACTGAAACATTTGTTTTCCATCTTCAATGATCATCAAGTGGCAACGTGGGGCAAGCAGTCAATCCGTTTAGTGAGAGCTCGCAATGATGCCAACAGTGTGAAGGTTGTCGAGAGAGCGAATACTGCTTTGCCAGGATCTCCTCAGACTCAAAGTATTGCTAAAATAACGATAGAAAGCATCAATTTGAAAGTGCCACATCTCACACCCAACGATGACATAAAGTTGTAGTTGTTGACACGTATCAAAGCAGATGAGCCTATGATGATACCGTTTCGCAGATGGGAATTGCACGAGCTACCAGCACTCACACAAGGATCTACCATAGAAATCTGGTCCGTCAAGACATGTTCTGCATTGGACAGTCCAAGATATGTTATAGTATTTTTCCAAACGAAAAAAGCCGATAATTTGCATGAAGACGTCACCTTGTTCGATAATGCCAACATCAAATCCATACGATTGGCTCTGAATAGCGACTATTATCCGCAAGAACGAATGCTATTGGACTTTTCCCGAGACCAATATGCTGACGCTCACTTCAACTATACAGAGTTCAACAAGAGCTACCATAACTGTCAAGAAAAGCGCTCTCTAGTAAACTTTGCCGAATTCAAATCCCGACCAATGTTTGTTATCGATTGCTCGAGGCGCCATCTAGGTCTAAAGTCGTCCACAGTTGACATAAAGTTGGACATTGAAGCGACTACAGGCTTCCCTCCCGACACCAAAGCCTATTGCATCATCATTCACGATCAAATCATGGAACATCTCCCACTCAGCGAAATTGTTCGAAATATTGCCTAGGTGGGTGTTGCTGCATCAGTCAGACGTCAGTTTGCTTCGAAGAGTCATGGAGATCGCACTGGTTGACATTCAAGGGTTCATGGTTGATGGTGAATTCATTCCAAAGGAAATGACCATTCGCATTGGCAAAAAGACGAGTCATTTTCTATTCAAGCCATCTGTAGAATTTTCGAGTTTGAGCAGAGAAGATAAAAAGATGGCAAATCATGTGGAGCGTTACGTTCATGGTTTAAAATATTCCAGTGGTTATGTGGATTTGAATGAGTTGGATCAAATACTACGAGATAACCTGCAGCAGACAAACATCATCTACGTAAGAGGCCATCAAAAGATTCAGTTCTTGCAGCGAAAATGTGCAGAGTTGGAGATGACCAATCACATTGTGAATTTAGAAGATTTTGACAATTCTTGGTGGCAACCAATAACGTTTCAACAATCCATTCCACCTTGCATGCATCATTTCCATGGAGGAAGGTTCCAGTGCAGTCTCCACAATGTCGATACTTTATATAATTGGTTATGTAATTTATTGCCAAAATAAAAAACTATATATCGTAATTTCAGAGTTTTTATTCATCACATCCCTTATTTCTCAGTATAATGAAAATAACATGTGAGATTAAAATGAGTGAACATATTAGTGTACAACAAAGTGTCAAAATTGCAATGATATTGACAGTATCTTGATCATCATCTAATTTTGCGGGTGATTTCTTCAATGTAAATGTCTGCCAGTCTCCCATTTCGCCGTCACTGCCATCAGAAAACGATAATTTCAATTTGTAGTCGATGGTGGTCCCATTGACTCGGGGCATGTCGATTGAAAATACAGGTAGTTTGTTATCATTGACATACATTCTACGCATCAGCTTCCAATCACACTGTTGTGTACGATTCACATCAAAACATACGGCTGCATTCCTCGTATTGTACGGTATGTTTGTGTAAAAGACGTTGTTGCTCAGAGCTGTCAATAGAATGAAGCTTGCTTTCAGTATCGCCATCTAGTAGCTGTGTTGGTTGGATTCTTCTCGATGTAGGTGCAGCTGTGCGTCTCGGTTCTGTGAACACCTTGTCCCAAACACTCAATTGCTCGAAATCTTTGAACAAACAAACTTTCTGCTCATACAATTGGATGTCTGCACTGAGCTTTCTAACTTTCAACCCAAATTCTTCTAGTGCACGTCTGTATTCGTCAGAAGACATGATACAACTGTTTTTTACATCCATACCTTCAACCCACATCTTATTACATCTCTTTCCCTCTCTCTCTCTCTCCCTTTCTCTCTCTCTCTCTTACTCTCACTTCTTCTCTTTTTTCTCTCTCTCTTTCTCGTACACATCATCCAGACAAGGGTGTGGGAAAAGAATACACAGAAAAGTCTAATAATTGTTTCTATATTCTAAATTGTAAAAGTGTATAATAGTATAAATGTAAAAAGGAATAATAAAAATGAAAAAAAAGTTTATACAATAAAATATGAATATTAGGAATAATTAGATAATACTAAAATAATTGAAAATATACATATATACAACATAAATTATTGGATGAATAAAAGAAGTTACATTTTTTTCATGGGAAAATAAGTCATCAATACAACAGCGTTGGTTTGAAAATTTTGATGCAAAAATACTAAGGAGAAAATCAATCCGTCAAACTGTAGTGACCCCACGGAAGTGTGTCAAATGAATCGTGAATCAGTTTCCGCTTATCATCTTTGGGACTCAGGCCAATTTTTGTTTGTTCGATGGAAAAAACATCGTGAGCGTAGGAACGAATCGTTTGCTGGGCTACGGTCTTTTCTTTCCAAGCCGTCAGACAATCCACATAGTCATCAAAAGTCAACTTATTTTTGACGACGCATTTCTTGACACCCTTGGATTTTTTAGTTATACCAAAATTTTCCAATTCCCTATCTAGTCGTTCTTTACTGAATCCCTTTCTTTCCAATCGCTTTCTCTCTTTTTCAATATCCTCATCCGTTATATCCAATTTATAACTGTACATCTTGGACCGTAGTCCAGCAAAATGCGTAATAATCTTACCGTTTGCCTCATCCTTTAATAGGCCCAAGACTTTTTTATTTACTCGAGGTATACCATAAATATTGTCTGGAGCATAGTCAGACGTGTCAAATCTCTCGATATTTGCATCAATCACCTCACTATACGCATCGTCACATACAATTTCGTAGATGAAGCTGTCCGTATCGGTATACATGAGTTTTACGTCAGCTCCAAGCTTTGGTAGCATGAAATTGTAGTGGAAATCATACATGACGATTTTCGATAAATCAAGAATAGCCATACCAATGTATAGGGGCTTGTTGAAAATCAGCTCTGCTTTTTTCAACTCTACTGCCACCAAATTGTCGTCGAAAACTGTCCGCTGTTGAAACCGAGGACTTGAAATTAAATTTTTTATGCCATAGCGGCCTTCATACATTCTGACTAACTTTACTGTTCTATGATTACGAATATTCTCCATAGTCTTCCCAAACACCGCATTATTGGCTAATTTCCTTAAATCTTTTTCAAAATCGTTTGTGGCTAGAGTCCTCAATCGAGTATTCAACTCGATGTAGGGCTTTAGCCACGTGGATTGTTTGAACTTTAATACTTTATGAATCTTGGTTAATTTCAGACCGTGTTCTAATGCCTGCTTCAAATTTCTGTAATGTAAAGTATATGACTTTTTATCGTACAGCGTGGTCATTAATTTGGATAATTTTGAATTTGGTGGTGTGCGGTGTTCGGGACAAAATGGTAGGTCCTTGTGTAGGTCATGCAACCCCTCAGGATACTCCAAATCAACTTGGAGAATATAGCCTTCTGGACTGTTGTCAGGAATTTGGGTTACATCAATGTCAACATTTTCTACCCATGTAAAGCCCCCATAAGGGAGGGGTTCACTCATTGCTTTTCCATAAAGGTTATTTACATCGAGATAAAGAAGGTACTTTGACGGCTTTTTTGGATCGTAATTTTTCTGGTACTTATTGTTTGCTTCACTATACCTATTGCAACAAACCGATACTCCTCCTCTTATCGCCTGCTCCACAAACATCACCATGTCGATGTCTTTGATGATTTGCAGCTTGCATCCAGTATACTTGAGCATGCAGTCCCAAGTATAGCCGGGCATGGTGTAATACCAAGCAGGATCGAGGCCATAGGTCTTGAGGGATGACGCACGGAAATTTTCCATGACGTCAGCAAGAAGAAGAATATCGGTCCGCATATATAGGTCGCTATATTCTCCCAGCGATTTCAGCTCGAAAGATTCCCAAACTTTTCGCGCGTGCGCGTAATCGTCGTCCGAAATATTTGTATCGTTCAATTTGTTATAGAAATTTTGAATACTTGGTAACTCGGATTCATCCAATCTTTCTACATTATCGACATAGTCATATGGAAATACTCCTTTTCGTGTCAACAATTCAAATTTCGTCTCATTTACGTCACTGAATTCTTTCTTTAGAATTTTCAAATCATTAACTTTCAGCGTTGACACTAAAGCATCGAGACTGGTTCCCAAAAAGCGGAAAGAGTCGATGAATCGGAATTTTATGCTTGTTTCATCATCATGTTGTGTAAAGGAAATGTATTTTTCACGATTAACCGGGAGTACGCTCACACGTCCCCGCTTGGAAATGTCTCTGATTATAAAATGTGAATCATATCCTGAGAGGTTGTGGAACGTAATGGGAACAACGAACAGTTTCCTAAAGTTGAGATTACAGGGAGCCTGGTGTGCGAAGCCTCTGAATGCGCCAGTAAAATGGTCGTGGTCGCGTACGATAACGTCTTTTGCCTTGAATTTCTCTTCGCAAATGTGGCAGATGGTTGCGCCGCTGGTACTAGCCGGTTTGACTACCATTGGAACGATATTTTTCAATTTGGATTCGACAAATTTGGCAATTTTAGACATTTCGCAGGCAAACCAGTCCATGCAATCTCCACCCCTATGACTACGATAGAATGACAGCGAGTCATCGAAAGAACATTTGAAATAGTACCCAGCACTGTATGCTTTATGATGTTGATACTTTGAAGTGGTTTTTGAAATTTTGGAATTACATTTCTCCAACTGCGATTCGAAATCAGCATAAATGATGAAAGGACACGTCTGCTTATACACATGGTTCTTAAATTCTACAAAATCATACTTGGGGAATGAAATTTTCTCATTATTAATTTTCTCACATTGAGCGGCATGACTATCAAGCTTCTCCTGACAATGATAATAGTTGAGGCACCGATCGCAGATGAATTTCTTTCTATAATTTTTGCTGAGTTGACTTGATACTAGTCGTGAAAGGTCCTTAATCCAGACATAGTGATATTTTATATTGACGTTCTCTTCAGCATTATCGTTGTCAGGAGGAGCTTCATAGTCATTCAAATTTGGGAAATATTTGTCCTGAATTAAAAGCAAATTAACGTGTCGATTGGATTTATGCTTTGTAAGTCTGGTGGGTACTACAGAGTAAAATGTTCGTTCGTTGACTTCTGTCAACTCTAACGCATAAACATTCACCGAAATAGCATTCATTTTTTCAAATTTTGTTATTTGGGGCAGCTTCATTGGTATGTCTAATCCTTTTATGTTCAAAATCTGTGAATAGTGAGGATAATTCTTAACTCTATTTGAATTTTTTTCAATGGGATGCAAACAACTGACTATGCTCCAAAAGAAGCATGCCTCATCATCATTTTGGACATTGATGCAGGCATGCTTTCTCTCAATCTGCTCTGGTAATTTGATAAACGATGAGCCATTGCCCATTTCATATTTATTTATGGCCACCTCCAGAGAAATAATTTCGCTCAAGGCCCACCCGCTATTCTTCTCGGCAAATTCGCTAAGTTTATTGAGGATCACATCTAGCGCATTGATTTTGAACCAATCGGCTAGGTCCGTTCCTGCGTCCACGATGGCATTGGGAGTACAAAAATGTTTGCGGTCAACTAATTCCCCATTATTCGACTGCTTAATGAAGTCACCGGAAAATGTAAAGTTGACTTTTAGCATTGAAAAGCGCCCCAAAATTTTTGAAATTCTCTTATTCACTAATCTAAATGAATCCTCCAAAAAGTCAATAATCTCCTTATGTCTCAAATTCAGAATAAGACCGGTCTGAACTCTCGACGCGAAGATTGAATTAACATCAATCCAACGAATATAGGGCTTCAGGCCGGAGCCAACATGTCCTCTATTCATAGTTTTGATGAAAAATCTCATCCGTTTCAGTTCCCCGATCTTAGTCTGAATTTTACGCTTCAAACCAATCGAAAAAGTATTTCTTTTCAATGCTAAAATACATTTCCGTATGTGTGAACGGATTGATTTCAATACAAAAAGTGCCAATGGTTTCGAATAATTTTTCTTAATTAATAAAAGAGTTTCGTCGACTTTGGTCAAGGTTTTATTGATGCTCTCCATTGTTATATTGATGATATTTTACCCAAATAAAAAAAATGTAGCTTACTTTAATTCTCTAGAATTTCAAACGAAGCTGCTGGATTGGCCTTCCCAGTCTGCACCTTTCCTCTGAAGACCAAGGAATATTTCCCGCTACCGAAATATCCAATGTGGGGGGAATAGGTCTCAGTTACACGACTGGGCAGGAACACAACAGAGTCCTCCAACTCAATCAGAACAGATTTACCAAATTTTGTGGTGACCACTTTCGCTGTCTTGATTGGTTGGGGTTGATCGAGCAGGAGATCCACCAACTTCACGCTTGGTTTCTGTTGTTTTGGAGCAATCAGAGAAGCTGCGTTGATTTGAGTAAGATCCATCTGGTGGAAAGAAAAAGGACAAAAAACATCAGCAGTCCAACAAAGTCATGATGAGCTTGATACTGGGATGGATTATTTTCGATAAAACTAGAAATAAAATCAATCTGCGATTGATCATTGATACTTTCATTGAATTGACTCTCGAAAAAAAAACTTGGAATGAAAAAGGTTGATGCGGAATGAGCACTAGGTTGTATTATTTTCGAAATAAAATGAAAGGGACCGATAATATAAAATTCGAGAAAGGAATGGGCACTGAATGAATAATTTGCAATGAAACTTAAAATAAAACTAAGAAACTCAAAATGGAATAAAAAAAAGTCGGATAATATAGGATTGAGAATATAAATACGCACTTTGATAAAAAAGAGGTACTTACTATTATTGCTATCAATGCACACACACACACAAACAGTGATGATTTGGCTGGAGCTGGTCAAGAGACAACGTTCACGATTGCAGACTCGAGTGTGAATGATGTTGTGCGGCGTCATCGCTTTTATATGCTGGCGGAGCTACCTCGTGACTTGCTGATAGTAGACGCGGATGTTCTGGAAAAACCCATCTGGAACGACTGCTGATATCGATAATTTCTTGCGTCATTCTTATCGTGTATTTTGTTTATGCGACTAGTTGGGTTTTTTTTTTTTTGTGGTTTTGATAACCTCCAACGTTTCCTGTTATGCTGCTGATTGTGAAATTGTTAGGTTTTTTGTGGTTTCGATAACCTTCGACGTTTCCTGTTATTCTGCTGATTGTGAAATTTGTTGTTGGGTTTTTTGCGGTTTTGATAACCTCCAACCTTATCTGTTATGCTGTTGATTGCGAAATTTGCTGTCGCTGCACCCGTGTAGAGATAAGCGCGCGTCAGCGATGGATATTATTTTCGACTCGAAGTTTCTTATCTCTGGAATGCATCTCTCGCTTCACTGTACCTCTACAGATCCGTTGCAAAGATAAGCGCGCGCCAGCAATGGATATTATTTTCGACTCGAAGTTTCTTATCTCTGGAATGCATCTCTCGCTTCACTCTACCTCGATAGATCCGTTGCAAAGATAAGCGCGCGCGCCTGCGATGGATATTATTTTCGACTCGAAGTTTCTTATCTCTGGAATGCATCTCTCGCTTCACTCTACCTCGATGGATCCGTTGCAAAGATAAGCGCGCGCGCCAGCTATGGATATCCCGTTTGAATAGCATTTAAATAATTGGAATATCACGGAGGTCGGAATACCACAGTGCGTATATACGCTGCCTCATAATGCAAAGGTCCCTGGTTCAATTCCCCCCAGCGGTGACAGCTTTTTTTAATTTATTTATTCACGATGGCGACGTGACGTCGTATGAATAATTTGAATTTCGCGCTGGTTTTTAGTGGGTGTGGCCTCCAACCAAATGCTGGTCTCTGATTGGCTTGAGCCAGAACTGGCATAGCCCTTCTACTTGAACGATTTTCAATTTTTCTTTCTCTTTTCTAGTTGTAAATTCAAATGTCCATGTCATAAAAGTCAAAAAATCATAGTAACCAAATAGCCAGATTCGAATCAACCGTTGTAATAACCGATATCAGGTTCAAATGAAAAATCAATACAAATCAATACATATCAATAACAATAAGAAAACGCTGACGGCCTACTATCTAGACATTCTAAAGATATAGCGAAGTTTATCAACCTTGATATGTTACTGTCGCGATCCTGCTCGTTGGAGGTCTGAACACTGAACTATTCGTTAATGCTACGTGGGACAAAGGAACAAAAGAAAAAGAAGAATTAAAATTACAACCTTAACAACTCGTTTGACATTTCATATAAATATTTTCAAAACAAACTGAAATAATGAACTTTCATCAAGTCAACAAAACATAACATGCTATTAAAATCAATTATGCAAGGAATATACAGGATGATCTCCGATGTATGCCATCGTGTATGCCAGTGACTCGCAGCTCCATGAAATCTGTAACAGAAAAGCTCAAAATATCCTACAAAAGGGAATGCAAGTTCTCAAAATACATTCAGTGAAAACCAGAGTTGAATTAATTATTTTGAAAAGGTCGTTGAATACTTGGTACTATCAATATTTCATAGAAGAAGTAACATTTACTAAAAGTGGATGTTACAACTCTATGTCCACTGTCATAGAGTACCCTCAGGAGCCCGTCCATAACCAGATTTCACAGGAGTGGGGAGAGTACTCCTTCCTGCGGGCATCCTCTGGTCGGCCTGGCCTCTACGGTCTCTCCCATCATAGTGTTGTTTATCGTTCTGTTTCTTAACATTGAGTCTATCCAGGTCACACAGGGTTCATCGATTCCTCTCTGTCTGAGAGCTCTAATTATAGATATTGAAAAGGAACATTCCCAGATATATTTATGAACACAAAACAATGGATATATATAAAGAAATACATTGAGAATTCGCATTCTCCATGTGATGAAAATATCAATTCTCTCACGGTTCATTCAACAGAAAACAACTACTTTTCTGGCTATATGCCACGACGAATATTGAATTACATCTATTGAACACACATGATGAGAATTTGAAAACGGAATCTTCTGAAGTAGAGAATTTGCATTCTCCTTCATATATAGATATGCATATAATTTAATTCTAAATATTCAACAAAAAACAACTACTTTCCTGGCTATTTGCCACGTCGAACATTGAATTATTTCTGTTGAATATCCAAAAAGAGAGCATGAAAGATCAATATCCTATGAAATTGAGGATTGACATTATCTCTCAAATTGAATATAAATGTATTATGATATAAAAATATAAATTACCGATATGTTCAGTATTGAAATGAAAATTGAAATGTATAGAAGGAAATACTTGTATGAACTCTGATCTTGATGAGCTTGGAACTTCCAAAAAAATCAGTCGTATCAGTGATAGGTATGGGAATTATATCTCTCACGTCCTGTATGATGAATGTCAATTCATCATACATTCAAAAAATCTAATTATAGAGTTTATTGAAGTATTATCAAGGGCTTTTTCTATGTCTAAGAAGGCCGCTAATAATACCTCTCTATTCTCCAGCGTGTTTTCCAGAAAGTAGTTACTATACCTTGGCATGAACCTGCAGCAAGCATGACTCCTCTCGGATGGGTAGTCCACGGGAATTCCAGGTTGGATTATCCTGCAGTATCTGAACATGATGTTCACTTCATGAACCACAAGTTGAAGGACGACCTAGACATTTTGCATGACTTGCTGAAGAAGCAGTGGAAGATGGAATCTATTGTTGAAAAAAAAAACATCATCAAGAGAAGATATGAAAGCTCAACACATTTTGGACAATACAACACGCAACCGAGCTGTTAAGGAACACCGACAACAATATTCTACCAGAAAGCGAGAGAAATGCGATGAGAAGATTTTACTGTACCGAGAGACGGATGGACGGATATCACATCTGCCAAGAATTACATGGCAAAGAGTAGTAGAACAAAGAGAGTTCCAATTCACAACAATTACTTATGTTGGTAACTACAAATCATAATCTGGATTTCCCAATAGGTAAAGTCATGTGTGAGTTGAAATTCTGCTTTTTGACAAAATGTCAATATGTAAACTCCTATGTGAGTTGGTATTGTATACATCTGTCTATTATGAACTGGCGAGCGTACGAAATCATATACCCATACCCATACAAACAAAAAGATAATCATCTAAAGACCCTATTTAAACAAATTTCTACCGTTTATTATAAATTTCATATTGTATATTCAGCTCTAACATGGGTACTTTGAGAATTTTTCTGTATCACATGGAAAGTTGAACATTGTTAAAATTTTTCCAGAAGATATACCAAGCCAAGTATTGAGAGGTTTATTACCGTTCCAGACTGAAGTGAGTATCTTTTATTCATTCATTTCCCTTTCATATTGATTGATTTTTCTCAAAAAACCTGAGCCCTGTTCGTTTGTGCTTGCTATACCTGCTGAACTTGAAATATATAGCAAATCAAGAATCGATTTTTGATCCAGTTTCCTCGAAAAAAAAAAAAAGTGAATCATGGGTTTCCTTCATCGAGGTTTTGTGACAATAGTGTTGAAGAGGAAATGAGAATAAAGGTATACATTGTAAATAAATGGATGACTTGCAGCCTTCAGAGATTTTGTATTCCTATAATAAGCGAAATGATACTGTCCCATGTAAAAAATTATCCGATTTGCCTTTCTATAATCAATATTTTTAGTTTTTGGGAGATATACAGACCTCCTGAATGTTATCATAATTCATTAGATTATTTCGAAACCAAAAAATTCAGCATTATTAAGTGATTTTTGGATATTCTTCAGAACAAATCAAACTTGTTGCTACAGGGAAAGATCATGGGGGAAGCAAGCAGAAATTTGTCTAGCGGGCACCTACGGGAATTCTCAAATTTTTCACATTAAAGAGGTGGATGTGGTATTGGTGTGGGCGATATCGAGAAAAAATAATTTGTTTTCTGTTCTTTCTTCTGATAATTCGAATGTAAAAACTCCACAAACGATAAGATTTCCACAAAATTCCCAAACACACGACATGTTTCGCTAACACAGTAGCTTCGTCTGAGGATATACTGGTACAATGAACTAAATTAACGTTGACTCGCTTAACTTTTATATATCTTACTTTCTCAACCCGAAGGATTAGTACCTGTGGGCAGGTACGATAAACCTCCATTTTCGGAAATTAGGCACAATATCTACATTAAAATACGGTATACCAGATTAACTTGAAAGAATTCATAGCAAATACATATGAATACTTACTGAGAAGACGAATTCAACAGTGGTGAACTATTGAGGTCTAACTGATCATTAAGTGGAATGTCAAAATTATTGAGTTTGTTGATTTCTAATGATTCGAAATGGTTTAGTTTCAGTCCCAATCATCATCAAAACCATGGTTTTATTCTGATATTAGGTTGGCGTATGTTGAATTTGTTCTCTTTCTTATAAAATTCATCTTATATTCATGAATCTGCTGATTGAACGTACGACCTGTCTGATATATACCTTAGGACAAGATCCACATTTGAGTTTGAATACCCCTGATTTTTCGGAACTAGAAGTTTTGTCTTTATTATTCTTGATAAACCGTCCCAACGCGTTATTTGTTCTATATGCCACTTTTAAGTCCTGTTTGTGTAGAAATGAAGCTAATTTCTCAGTTGATGATCCAAAATAGGTTGAACTTCTTGAATAGCTTTATCATTGTATTATCATTATCATTTCCTTGAATAGATTCATTATATGGTTGGAACACCAGGGGAATCGGCAAAATTTCTGATCGGAGGTAGCCTTGGCTATCAATTTTCAGACTCGCCTATAATATACAGTAACGTGTTTCCTCCTTGTAACATAAATAACTATATACCTCTATCATCTTCCAGATCAGATGCATAATATGATTATAATAATATGAAGATATAACTCACCAATTTATTCAGTATATTGAAATAGGTATTGAAATGAAGAAAAGAAATATAAGTAAATTCTTACAAAAATAATGATATTGATGGGGTTAAAGCTTCCGAAAATCATTCGTATAGATCGTATCGTATTGACGAGTTATAAGTATTATAATATCATTTTATATCATATTATTCATCCGATCTGAAAGAGAATGTGAATTCCCAATTTCAGATGATTCTATTTTCATCTAGAAGCAATCTATTCTCCAGGAGTATTGAAAATGGCCAGTTACAAGTGTATCACGTACCCTATATACCAGATCACAATAGCATCACTTTAGCTTCTCGCGTCATACCTGCATTCCGTGTTGGTAGAATCGATAATAGATGCGCATTGCCACTGTTGCTTTTTTTGGCGTCAAATATGATCTTTCTCGCTATAAAAACATCTCAATCTTTCGGTCATTCGAAAATTATAATATAATTAAACATAATACGTCAGTAATTATACGGGTATCATTATATCATTAATGCCCATGGCATGAGAAGTTAAGACAATTCAGCAAATGTTGAATAGGTAGGTATTAATAATGGGCGTGTACACCTTATAGTAGAACTTTTAACTCAAACCATGTTTATAATGATCCTTTCATAAATAAATAATGATTGACGACATGATTCGATCGAAAAATTAACTGGAATATTTTATCTTTGGACATAAATAATAGTACCTTCTGAAAACGGACCCTCCTATGACGTAGAAACCTCATCTCCCCATAGTTAAAAGAAAATACCAAATGCCCGTCGGAGACTGAGGCAACTGATATACCTATATTAATTCTTTCAACTTTGATCTCGCGCTAATTCACTCTGTCAGAAATCATGTATCTTTCATCTCTGTCTGGAGTCTTGTTTCAGTATTTGGGTTTTGACGTCACATCATCGCCTCGTTTTCAGAGGTCCGAAAAATCGGGGATTTTAATATTTTTTATAAAACATAGGGAGCTCACAGCAAGAAACGGTTTGCGGTGGTGAGCTAGTTTGGGTGGGTTCTATCGAATTATGAAATAATTTTTTTTTGTGATATAAGCCCATTGAAAGAAGTCTCTGAATGACAATTATGTTGACAGAATAGAGGAGAAGACACTTTCACGGCTACCACTTTCGATGAAATCAGTTCATGAATAACTGAAAAATTCACTTTTATTGATCCATGTTTCATTTTATTTGGGTTACGCAAGTAGGTGAATTGTGTTTTATTCAACATTACAATGTTATTATATGGCTGTGAATGTTATTAATATTACATACTGCTTGGAGTGCCTTGTAACAAGATATATTCCTACCAACCTCAGAGGAATCAGGTTAGTCAAGATTATGAATTATGAATTTCCAGCAGCTGCCTTATATATTCGTTTTTTCTTGTCTCTTGGGTAAATTGGTCGTTATTTTGTAGTTCATTCACCGTAAAAAAATTTTTCAGGTAATTTACCACTATAGAGGTCAAACTATTTTTCGTATTCGACTCGGAATGATTTTCAGAATATTCATGATACTCAAAAAAATTCCAAAAAATAATTCAACCCCGCGTGTGATATTCGGTGAAAAAAATACTTTAAATATTTTTTATTCCTATGATTTCCATAAAGGTTCATTAAAAAATATATATCCATATTGTCCAAACCAGAATAGTAAGGACTCTTCGAATCTGATATCAAAATATCTATGCTGAATTTGAACAACTAAAGTTGATGATGGTTCCATCTTTAAGGAACGTTGGATCAGAAAATCGATGAAACCAAATTGAATAGCTCCAAAAGTTGCCATGAAGACGTTTTTCAGTAAAGTCGAAACTTCATTTTCAACGCCAAACAAGAATACAATTGAAAATCCGGAAATTCAAGTTTTTGGAAATCACTCAAGGACGAGAAGTCATATCATATATTTCTGAAGATCATTTTGTTGGTCCTTCACTCGCGCAAATTTCCTCCTATTTAAGCAAACCTGTATCTCTCGTCGTTTCGAGATGCCCACTACCGACCTTCCTTATCTTGGGCACAGAATATAATAGCTGCATTTTGACATACCAATAAATGCTCAGCCTATTGATGTGTTTAATGGCATCGACGCCGAACGGCGTTATCTTTCTTCCCTATAGGTACCAGAAAAGACGCCTCACGACGTATAAACATCAACATCATCTGGTACCAGAGAACGCCGGATGACTGATATGCCTAATCAGCCAATGGTATTCGAATCTCTACTGTCACGTATCATGGGAGTAATATATACCGTAGTGTCATATATTAGCTTCCGCTTGTCCTTAGCACATGTTTCCGGTAGTGCAGTACAGAGCGCCGCATTAAACTCTGTGTTCTGTGCTGTACAATGTTTTGTAGAGCATCAACGCATATTACGCTACTCCAAACCAAAATACAATGCAGGCGCAGCAGACGCTACGGGTAAATTGGCTGCTATCGAGCACACTGTGCTTGAAAAAATTAGACAATTTTGAATATAAACCCATAATTGCATGGAGCATTAGGAACATTGGAGGGTATAAAGGATTTAGATCATCTGTGAAGAATATTCCCCTAGATCTAATTCCTAATGATGTTCAGGAGTTTTTTCAGGCCACTCTTCAATAACTCAACTAAATATGGAAAATCCATAGGCTAGTCTAGATACTAGATATGGTATTTTGAAATTTCTATTTTTGACTGTGATCCCTAATCAGGATCTCATATTA